AGATCTCTTTAGAGATGGTAATTAAATAAAAATAAAAGTAAGAGGTAAGAAACAGATTTCCAGCACGATGGAGCACTGTGCCATAAGGCAAAAGTGAAGTAGCTCGGGGAACAAAACGTTGAAATTTTGGGTCCATGGCCTGGAAACTCCCAGATGTTAATCCCATTGAGAACTTGCGATCAATCCTCAAGAGGCGGGTGGACAAACAAAAACCCATAAATTCTGACAAACTCCAAGAAGTGATTATGACAGAATTGGTTGCTATCAGTCAGGATTTGGCCCAGAAGTTGATTGAGAGCATGCCCAGTCGAATTGCAGAGGTCCTGAAAAAGAAGGGCCAACATGGCAAATACTGACTCTTGGCATACACGTCATGTAATTGTCGATAAAAGCCTTTGAAACGTATGAAGTGCTTGTAATTATGTTTCAGTGAATCACAGAAACAACTGAAACGACGACTGTAGACTATTTCGATTCAGAAAAGTTTAATTATTTAGCCTTGTTGTGCAAACAAGCCTGCATAACTTAATACATATAGAATTTGAAAAGGAACAAATGTTATCTAAAAAGTTACACTAGATACATGTTCTGATGAGTTTTGGCAAACATCGAAGCAAATATCAATAGTGTCGATACCAAGTCGGCATCGGTATCGGATCGATACTAGCCTGGTGAGATTGATCCTTTACTTTGAGTTCTGCTTGTTTACAACGCTGTGCAAAGACGAAACAGCCAGGTCGCTGTGTCAGCGGAGAGCAGGCACACTTTGCTCCCTCTCCCCCAACGTTACGTTTCGGTGTTGCGCTGTCACGTCACGTGACTTGCTCATTTTGGGGGTTGTTAAGTTGTTTACATATTAATTATGTTTTTACCAGTTGTTTTTGTTGTTGAGAATTTTAATTGTAATTTTTGTATTATAGTTCATCAACAGCATTTGTTTTAATTTGTTTACTGGTTTGCGTGCACTTAAGATAAAAAACAAAACAAAGATCACCACCACGGCAGACCCGATGGCTTTTTCATGGTTCACAGCACCGTTTATTCTTACAATAATCACACGGTTGCGGTAACAGTACATTCAACGGCTGCAGCTCTCCCACTGCCAGATCACCACCACCAAACCTGCAGTGGCATTGCAGAACACGCCCCGCCACATCCCCCATCGCCCGCTTCTAGCCCAGCAGAGGATGTACTTCCTGAGGCAGCTGAAGAAATTCAACCTGCCAACACGGACGATGATGCAGTTCTACACTGCAATCATTGAGTCCATCCTCACCTCCTCCATCACCGTGTGGTACGCTGGAGCCACTATCAGGGACAAACAGAGACTGCAGCGTGTTGTGCGCTCTGCTGAGAAGGTGATTGGCTGCAGACTCCCTTCTCTGCAGGACCTGTACACCTCCAGGACACTGCGGCGTGCAGCTCGGATCTCAGCTGACCCTTCTCACCCTGGACACAGTCTGTTTGACTTGCTCCCCTCAGGCAGGAGTTTCTTCCCCTCTGCTGTTGGACTCATGAACAATAACCGTATGACTGTTCCCACCACTAACACATGACCCTACGCTGTGTTCACTGCATCGTTCCATGTTTGCACTGATCACCACCTGCACTCATGTATATATCTATCTACTTAGCACTTTTTATTTTTATGTTCATTTAAGCGTGGTCCCTCCGGCGCACCAGCCTCCAGCTCACCCCGAGCCACACGCTGTCAATCCTTACAGTAATCACACGGTCGCTGTAACAGTACATACACATCACCACCAAAAACAACAACACGAGCAGAAATTGACGAGCTGAAGCAGGAAACACACATGTCTCTTTGTGTTTGTTATGAGACTCAGGATGGTTCTGAATCTAACTTGAGATATTTGAAAATGATATCTAAGACCAACACTGCAAGCTTGGAGACATACAGTGTTTATCTGCATGTCCCAGGGTTGGCTTCAGAATCAGAAATCAGAAAGGTTCTGGTGCGAATGGACCGGAGCCTCCTGCCTGAGGGGAGCAGGTCAAACAGACTGTGTCCAGGGTGAGAAGGGTCAGCTGAGATCCGAGCTGCACGCCCCAGTGTCCTGGAGGTGTACAGGTCCTGCAGAGATGGGAGTCTGCAGCCAATCACCTTCTCAGCAGAGCGCACAACACGCTGCAGTCTCTGTTTGTCCCTGATAGTGGCTCCAGCGTACCACACGGTGATGGAGGAGGTGAGGATGGACTCGATGATTGCAGTGTAGAACTGCATCATCGTCCGTGTTGGCAGGTTGAATTTCTTCAGCTGCCTCAGGAAGTACATCCTCTGCTGGGCTTTCTTGATGACGGAGGTGATGGTGGGCTCCCACTTCAGGTCCTGGGTGATGGTGGTACCCAGGAAGCGGAATGAGTCCACAGAGGTGATGGGGGTGTCAGTCAGGATGATGGGGGGGAGTGGAGCTGTGTGCTTCCTGAAGTCCACAATAATCTCCACTGTCTTCTGGGCATTCAGCACCAGGTTGTTGTGGCTGCACCAGGACACCAGACGTTCAAATGCTACTAGTATGTGTGGGCTGAAACCCATTAGTTGTAGCTGTGTGATAATGGTTTGGTACCAATATTACATGAGACCCCCCACGAATATATGACAGAAATATTAAAAAATGTGGCCGTATGCTCTCTGGTGGAGTCCTCTTCCACACTGCTTTTGCTGCACAGCAACTTGGGTGTAAAATTTTAGGGTATTGTTTTATTTTTTGTTTTTTCTTCTTCTTTGGTACATAAATGTTGGGTCTGCGCTTGCAGGCCCGCTGGTTGAAATGAAACAACCCCCCATTGTAAAACCATAAATGGTGTGTCATAACAGTTAAAGCACTGTGTGCATGTGTATGTGTGTGTGCATGTTTATGCATGTGCGAGCATGTGTGTGTGTGTGACATCCTGCTGATCACAAAGGGTCATCTCCTCTCACCCTTTATATGGCTTAACTTTAATGGCTGACCACATACAAGCACAGATGATCATCCTTTACAGAGAAGACAACCAGAACCTTTAGATTGGAGTGTGCCTGCAGTTTAACACTATAGCCAATTGCTTCGATGTGTAGGGGAGGAACAGAAGAATATCTCAACATGCAGTTTAAGCCAAGGTTTACAAGTGTAAGTGCAACAATGACAACATTGATCAAAATGAACCTAACAATGTGATTTTCCTCTAATACTGAAACCAGACTGCTTCTGTGTATTTTCATCTTCTAGTCGGTTTGTTTGAAAATCGCCTCTGTCAGTGCGCCCCAGAGCAGCTGTGGCTGCAATGTAGCTGCCATCACCAGTGTGTGAATGTGTGTGTGACTGAATGTGTAAAGCACTTTGGGGTCCTTAGGGACTAAGTTAAGTGCTGTACAAATACAGGCCATTTACCGTTTATATTTCCTGCGTTGAAATTCCTCTAGGTGGCATTATTGCGTTGTTTTTACACTTGTAAACACTTGTTTTTCACAATTTGCAGTATGCTTTTGTCCCTTAGCATTAACTCGGCTTTTGCTCGTTTCCTGTTCACAACATCTACTCAAAAAGCAAACAAACAAACAAACGAAACAATCTGCGTAAAAGCAATGGATACTTTTATCACTGGATTTGTATGGGTGTGGGCTACACACAGCTGGCTATATACTTAGAATTCTTCACTCTTTTAACCAAATACTTTTGCAAAGAAACACAATGCTGCCATGGATCCCTCATTAGGGTTAGGCCCATTTACACAGTTAAAATAAAACTCCAGCTCTAGATGAGTTGCTTGAAACTTGTGGCTGTTAAAAGGCTCATTCTACATCCATTAAATTTCAGTGTGTTCAGGCAGCAGCTGGTGGACAAGTGTTTTTCATATTTAGGGCCAACTTGATACCAATCATGGGACTATCATTAGTTTTTCAGTAGAAAATCCAAAACACACATCCAGCTGAGAGGAAAAGCATCAGGAGATCTTACCTTCACAATCACCAACGTAATCTTACGTGGAATCACTTGGATCAGTTGAGCCACAGAGTGAAGGAGAAATGGTAAATGCTCAACAGACTCACTGGCCAGACACAAAGTGTGACAATCAAACACATCAGATCAAGCATGGATCCATGGTGCAGGCTGGTACTGTAGATAACTGTGCCCTAAGAATCATGACACACTGACATCTGTGGTGAATGTGGCCATGTGAGCTCATAATCAGTTCAGATACGTGTGTCATAGCTTCGTCGTGTGATCCCAGCAGAACCTAAAACCTTAGTTATATTACGTTTACCAATTAAGACTGAATTGTGTGGGACTAGCTGCCATAACCTAAGTAAATAGCATGTAGTCTTGATGCATACAAAAAAGAAACCTTTTTTAATATTCTAACTTTATTGATAAATAATTATTGAGCTTTGAATTAAAGATCAATAGGACATCACACAATTACAGCATGCTTAATGATTACACGATTACTGATACAAGCTTCCAGGCTGGCAGCCGTGCGTGTAATGAAGTCTGTCTCAAAGATAAACATTCAGATTATTTTGTATGAATATTATCTAAGAATATATTAATATATCTTTGAAAATGTCATTAGACACTAGATTACCCACCCAGTTAAGATTAGTCACTTGCACATTTGAAGCTGTTTAATAAAGCTATCTGTTACTGCCATTAATTACTTAATCTGTATCCAGTATTCGCTTTTGTAAATAACCATGTTTTAAGCACACAAAGCAGTAAAAATGAACATTTTAGCTTCTTATAACCAAACCTGACACCAGAAAGAATGTGATGTCAGTTTAAAGACCTGACCTCCAGCATCAAGTCTGCCTTTGTTACTCCACCATATCTAAACTCCCACACATCAGATTAGCATGCTAGCTAAACTATCTGCCAGTCCCCATATGATGAATGACCTCAGCTGTACTTCACTTATGCAACAGACAAACAGAAGAAAATAAAAAATGAAGTAAGAAAATGAAACCTGGTGTGGCAAATACGCTTTATGTTAGCACTAGCTAGCCAGAAATTAATTCATAATATAGATTCTGTCACTGCTAATGAGCTGATAACATAATCTTAGTGTAATGTAAAATTAATCATTGCACGTTACCAAAATGCATAAATATCAGTATAGTACACTACACAAACATTTGCACATTTACAGTTTCTAACCTGAGCATATGAGAAAATAGAAGATATTGACAGCCAGTATATATAAATGAACCGCAGCTAAATTCTGTTTATGATTTACATAATGTGTGGACATATATATATATATTGTATATACAGTTTTGTATAGTCAGTTTTTCCACTCAGATGCTTCATAGCTTGCTCTCGAGAGTCCCGTTGTCTTTTTCTTGAACAACCCCGTTGCGGTAAGATGGTGTAGCTCCATCTTCCGTCTCTTCTGCTGAGGTCGGGATTTTTAGAAAGGGGAAGAAAAGACATTTGTTGTTTACATATGACTACACCTGACACTGTTCAGTGATTTAAGCCACTACACAGTGTGTAGATGTGTATGCCTGCTGACCTTTGACCTGCCGGGCCAGGAGACGTGGTCCTGCCAGTCCGATACCCAGTGCACCAACTGGAGCTGTGGTCAAGATGGCTAACACCGCTAATGTTAGCACATCCAAACCAAACTTAATTAAGGCCTCGTCCCCTTCCTCCCTCGCCATGTCCAATGCCTTGGAGCCAATGGCAGCCTAGCACATACAGACATAAATAACTGCTCAGGAGAAGTGCAGATTAACAATGAAGGAGTGTATCGTTAAGATCACAGAGGTGGTTTTAAGGGAAACAACAGTACTTTTTTAGTTCTTAGTCATAACTGAGGAAGATGTATAGGACCTTGGGTTTCATGACTAATGACAAACTAGAACATGTTTATGAGATTAACGTAGTAATTTAGGTTTTCGAAGTCAATAAAGAGAATTCAGGAGCCATGTAGGTAGTTCTAATCAATTCAATCTAGTGATTTCAGTGGTTTATAAAACACACGATGTGTGTGGATAATTTTAGTGGCTGTTCTGGACACCAGTGGCATTTTAGGAGTGTTAAGAGATGTTATGGATCCTTTAGAAGTTTCTGGATAAGTCTGAGGTGCTTCTAGTTCTGGTTTAATAAAGTCGGGTACATTATTCTTGAAAAATGAATATCTTCTAGCAGTCTAATATCAGGATTACACACTCACAGACCTGCACAGTAGCTTTAGGCAGCCAGGCCACAGAAATGAAGAGCTTCTCTTTTAAGTTGAATCCTCCATAATGAACCAACAGGAAGGTGACAAGTAGACGGATCACCAGACCAATAAGAATGCAGGCCATACCCAGACCTAAGGGCATAGACACAACAACAAAGAGGAAACCAGTATCTTAAATTTCCTCAAGCCGTGAAATGTTTTGCTCTGCAGGTTAAAGCTCTTTGATTACTGGGCCCACTGGGCTCCTAGTAACTGAGAACAAAATCTAGAAACAAATGGAGCAAAGTCTAACTGAAATATACTGGTAGTATAATTTTCTTACCCACAGTGCTTGGGCTGAGTGCTTTAATCGTGATCTCAGCTCCAATCAGACCAAAGAGAAGTGGCTGAAATACATCCCATGACCGGCCCACTATTTCTGCTACTGGTGCCTGATTGCGAAGTTAGAGATACCTGGATTAACCACATTCCATGGTGCCAGCCATTAAAAGACATGTTGATTTAGGGTAAACATGACAAAATCCAAGGGGCAGGATGCAGGTTAAAGTGATCCTGATATATGATACCTTTTCAGTCTTCCAGCCCAGTGCAGCCAGGAAAGCCAGCACCAGTGTACAGAGACTTCCAGCTCCAGCAAAACCTATAACATTACTGGTGAAGACTGAAAATATGGACAGACCCAGCAACATGAGGGTCCTCCTCAATACCAGATCCTCCTGCGATCAGACAGAAGATATTAAAGACACATTTTATGAACAATTAAAAAAGGAAAAATCATATTAATAAAAAAATGTCAGACCTGGTCATTGCTGGGGAAGCAGTACAAGAACATGCCCAGGATCATACCAGCTACGATGCCTCCCACCACCTCCAGCAGACCCTTCAGTATGTTCATCCATGTAGAACCTGCAGGACAAACACAACGAGACCATGTAGACTAGAAAAGAACGAACTGAACAGCACAGGACAGAAACATTTTGTCTGACCTGTAGAGAAGGCGATTCCCAAACATGTAGAAAATCCTGTTATGGCGAGAATATCATCAAAGCTTCCAGCAGCCATCAGGAGGGTGGGGATTCCCTGAAGAACAACACACAGTGACATTAAAGATTCATGTTAGAGCAGAAGACTTGATCTTTTTTGACTCCCATGGAAGCTCTTGGGTTTGAGGAGCTTCACTGGAGGAGCCCTAGATCTTTTTGGTGATGCTTTCCCTTCCTTTAAACTTGAAGTGATTAAACGCTTTGAGAAATAGCTGAAGGGATTCTAGTGGTGTATTATAGGCATTGGGGTTGTTGTGAAAACCAATAAGGTGTACAACTCTTTTAGAAGAGTATTGCTACTTGATCAGTATCCTATCAAAGGTTCAAGTGTTGCTTAAGCTGGCTTTAGTGACTTTGTATGAGGTATTAAGGACCACTGTGGTTCTCCTAGAGGTCACTGTGGGTTCTTGTAAATGGGGTAGAGCATGATTAGGAAGCTTAGCAATCACTGAGAATGTGTTGATGGAGCTTGAGGATCTCTAGAGGCCCCTATATTGATTTTATTAATGGTGTCAATTGTTATGTAATGTTTAAAGTCCTGCAGGTGGTTCTGCTGTTATTTTTATTTTATACTTGCTCTGCATAAGCCTACACAGATGATGTGTCATGTCTATAGACTCATCTCAGGCTCATCTGTTTTTCCACCCATACGCTGCCCCTTGTGGCAGGATGAACCTTTCATCAGTCAAATGTAGTGATGATAGTAACGGGTGATAATTTACCTTCTCCACTCCATATCCTTCTCTCTGCAGGAGCAGCATTGAAGGAACAACAACTGCTGGAGAAACGGCAGCCAGTACAAAACTGCACAAACACAAATATCACAGGCACAATGAGTGTCGCTTTACTTACTTTGAATCTAGTCATACAGAAAGAAATGGCTCTGTGTGTGTGTCTAGGGATGGGTATCGTTTAGGTTTTATCCGATACCGGTGCCAAATCGGTACTTTTGAAAC